ACACAACCCCAAGTTCTGTTACAGTTTAAATGCCGTTGATTTAAGCTATACAAGGCACACATTTCCCTCCATGGATTGTGTGTATATATTTTTGAAAAAAAATTTTGTTATAATGTTTCTTCCGTCATGACTAAAAGACAAGTCCATTGTTATTGGCACTATATACAGTATTTTTGGACTATAGGGTGCACTTAAAACCCTTACATTTTCTCAAAAATTGACAGTGCACCTTATGTATTAATACTGATTGTGCATATTGACCTCGAACCAATTTTACATGGTACACTTCGCTCAAAAATCTGTCATAATGTTTTAGTACAACTTTGGTAAACTATGAAGCCGCACCGCTTGATGGATGCATTACGACTCCCCTAGTCAGGAGCCTATCAGAGTCATGTCCTTTAGTCTGACAGAAGGTGACCGCACCAGTGCACAAGGAGCGAGCTGTTTTTTCAGTGCTTATAGTTTATGCAAATGAGTCATATGGTTTTAAGTTTTGTTTCTGTAAAATGTAAACAAATGTGCACAAATCTGCATTAAACACATTATTACTCAATGTATATTTAAATCCTCCTCGTAGGAAATTAAAAAAAAAAAAAATTTTCCACCAACATTCACATTCATTATAAACATTCACCAAGACAGGGAGGCAACCCCGGGCGAATTACACCACGATCTGCCGATGGATCGTGGACGCCTGAACTAAGGATCAGTCTCAAGTGTCGTCCGTTTGTTTTCGCTTAATGTGCCTTATAATCTGATGCGCCTTATGTATGAAAATAAACGAGAGAATTCAACATTACTGATATTGCGCCTTATAATCATGTGCACCTTATAGTCTGAAAATTACGGTACATAAAATTGAATTGCATGAAATTGTCCCATTTGTAATGTCCCCAGTATCACAAAGGTGAGGTGTGCGCCCTCTTGAGGTGCATTATTTGGGAGAAGATATAGTCTAGATTTGCGACCTCTACCCATATTCATATAAATTATTGAATAAAGGTGATCCTACAGTGGGAGCATTATTCGATGGATCAAGTGGGCTGTCAGAATCTGCTACCTTTAGTGGGAGCCTTACTTGATAGAAGATATAGGCTTGTCGGAATGAGCTACACCTACCCAAATTCATATAGAAGAGTGAATAATGGTGATTATACAGTGGAAGCATTATTCAGTGGCTAAAACGGCCTGTCGATATGTGCTCCCTTTAGTCGGAGACCTATTTACGACTGTCGAAATGAACTACCTACGCATATACATATAAACGAGTTGAAGTTTTACATAACTAAGGTATAAGGTGTGATCACTGTGTGCAAACTGCATCAAACCCGCTGTCTCTAATCCAAAGAAATGCATTATAAAACTGGAGAGGTTAGAGTTTGGCTTTAATGGATCTATACAACTATAAATGGAAAAACATAACGTTGCTTATTTCGACGGAGCAACCCATTTCGACAGAACACCAGATTGGTCTGTTATTAATGTTCCTATCTTGATTTATGGACAAAATAGTCAAATAATAACCCCACGATCACGTAAAGTGGGTTAAGTGGGATTTTAAGACCAAAAATGACGAGTGTAATGGCAGCAGCAGTTACAGAGAAAGAGGTGAAGATTTTTCAAAAGAAGTCTATTGCAACCAGCGCTCAAAAGAACCACTTCACGCCAAATGTGCACTTCATATCTGGAACGTGGCGGCTAACACATTATCTATGTCTATTTATACAGTCTATGCCCTAAATATGAATCCTAAATTAAATAGTTTCTAAGCCTGAATTATTCTTACTTGTTCTAAATAAAAAAATGTGTTAATTATGAACTAAGTCTTTTGTTCGTGCTCTAATCTGCTGCTCGTCTTTATTTTTTTAAGCAGTTGTGAGGACTGTAATCATTTCAAATTCTTTTCTCACATTGATGGGCACTCAAAGCACTTCATGTCAAGGAACCATTCATCTTTTCACTCAGATGTAAAGGAGCAGGGTTTATAAGATTTATCTTCTTCTTGTTCCTTTTGTTCATGCAGCAAAGACAAGGCAGATAATGGTTGGAATATGTATTTATGTTACTTGTCAGATTTTTGTTGTTGTTGTTGCTCTCTTTAAATTGAAGCCAATGAAATAACAGCATGAGCAATAAATAAATAAACAAATAAATTAGATGTATTCATGAAAGGTGCAGTGTTGTCTTGCTCAAGGGCAAACAGCGGTATTTATCGCCAGGAGCCAAATGTCAGGTTTGGTGCAGAACATCACGACACACTGAGAAACTGCAGCGCCGCTTTGTGCAGGAGGCGGGTTTGGGCAAAGAGAAGTAACCTGCTGAGGTATATTCACTCATGCGTACTCAGAATTTGTGAATTTGACCAGTTTTTCAAGGCCACTGTCAGGAGCTGAGATCTTTAGCAAGCTTTGGAGAAGTAGTTTATGTTTCAGGTTCATGGAGGAAACAGATTACCGAGAGGAAGCCCACAGAGAAAATACGCAAAATCTGAACAGAAAGCTGACATCCAACCAACCAAACCCAAGACAATCTCACTGAGGCAAGAAGAGCAACCACTGTGAAAGTATAAATTAGAGCGTATAGTGGCTTCTAAAGGCTTCTTAGTCAAGTCTTTAGTCTTTCGTCAGCAGTGTTGGGAAGGTTACTTTTTAAATGTATTCCCCTACAGATTACAGATTACATACCCCAAAATGTAGTTTGTGACATTATCCATTAAATTAGTTAAGGTGAGTAACGTAATCTGAATACTTTGGATTACTTGATTTTCTGTAGAGAAGCAAAGATGAGGAAATCTTCACATAAGATGTTTTATCTGCTAAAAGAAAATAAAAAAGCTCAGTCTTTACTTAACCGTATTAAAATATTATTGATAGAAGAGGAGGAGACAGAGTCCGTGCAACATGATTTAGTCCTGTTAAATCCTGGTTTAGTCCTGGTTTAGACCTGGTTTTAGTCCTGGTTTAGTCCAGGTTTAGTCCTGGTTTAGACCTGGTTTGGACCTGTTTGGACCTGGTTTAGACCTGGTTTACTCCTGGTTTAGTCTTGGTTTAGACCTAGTTTAGACCTGATTTAGTCCTGGTTTAGACCTGGTTTTAGTCCTGGTTTAGTCCTGGTTTAGACCTGGTTTAGACCTAGTTTAGACCTGGTTTTAGACCTGGTTTTAGACCTGATTCAGACCTGGTTTAGACTAGTTTAGACCTGGTTTGAACCTGGTTTAGTGTCCAATGGCAATGGATATAGCCCGAAATGTGAAAACAGGAAAATACCGCCGTGTAATCCATTTATTTCAACAAAGTAACTGTAATCCTATTACCACTCACTGAAACAGTAACTGTAACCGAATACAGTTACTCATAATTTGTACTCTGATTACGTAACTCCGGTGCATGTAATCTGTTACTCCCCAACACTGTTCGTCAGATAGAAATGATTTTGACAAGACAAGGCTTTAAATGTAATTACAAACATGGCCGTTACATGCTGATGGTCTCTGATAACTCTGCTCCTCCTGCTCGTGTCCGACCAACCGCCAGCTACAAGTTCGTCTTTTCACACAAGACTTGTAATTGATAGAGACTCACTAATCATTTTAGCATTTACACGACCATCTGTAATTATGGGCTGTGCATTTGTTAGAGAAAAGAACCTGTTTTTAATTATGATGTTCCCTGGTATGCAACTAGAAATCACAATCTGTTCTCGACAGATTCACATTAGGCGTTACATGCAGTTTATATAGCTGCAAGACTAAATGACTAACTTGTATTATTACAAGTCAGAATCATTTTCATCTATCAATATATAATAAAGATTGATAAAGATTGTACTATCCTTTTGAAAGCAACATTAACAACAGTAAACAAGAGCCGATTACATGCAGTGGAATATGTAAAGAACTCACACTCTGCTTCCCTTTTCACTTCATTTTAAGTTTTCAACAGAATCATAAACACAATATTTGCGATATGACTGAGCAGAAAAAGCAGTTTACACAAGGAAGTGTACTTTGTGAATGCAATCATTGTCCCTCACAGTGCTCATATACGTATAATAAAACAGGCGCAAAGATGAATTCAGAGGTATGAGACAAACTAATCCACATTTTAACAAGTTTGCCAAGTGCTTTTCTCTTTCTCAAGACCCACTCCTGCAGCCCCAATGAAAGCCTGGAGGCGGGACACATTTCTGAATTTCAAGTGTACTTTATGTTCGACCAACACTAAACCTAGAGACGTCTGAGCAGCCAACATACTCTTACTCTAACCTTCACCTTCAGTTAATGCACTCTGATCCTTTTACATTTGTTGCTATGAATTGTTTATACTGAATCCATCATTAACCCAAAATATGCTCTGTTCAGTTCACCCCAAACCCAGTTCTTTCACTGATATGTAAACACTTGTAAATGCAAATAAGTCAGGTTTGGTTTGATTGGCAAAAGTGCATTTGTTTAAATAAAATAGAACTGTGTGCATAAAAGAATGCTGACTGCAGTAATCCAACACTGTGCCTGTCCCGTGAGTAAAAGCATCACACAAAGAAGATCACTAATGGAGGCGGGGTGGGCTACATTGTTTAAGAATCTAATATTGATCTCAGAGTAACTGGTTTAAATACAATTATCTATAGATCTAATGGATGTTGTCATGCTGCTTATTCATTAAACTGTTAGCGCTGCAGGTCGCGCTGCACAAGAATACATTTAATAGGTCTATGCTAAAGGTAACAAAGAGTTGGCAATGTGTATGAAACATGTACATTCTAACCAGAGACTGTACAGCCCGTCACTGAAACGCTTCACAAACTCATCATGCAGCATGAATGAGTCTGATGGGCTGATCTCGTCCCGTAGTAAAATCGAGTTTTCTCACGCACCTGCGCTTCATTCATGCTTTTTTGTTTCTCCAGAGCAGAAGAGTGAAACCTGGACTGCACTGACACCTAGAGTCTCCGCTGGTACAGACTCACTCTAAACTCCGTAAAGAACTGCCACTCACCGAAGAAAGTGACGGCGAAGCCCTCGAGGACGCACGCCCAGCGCCCGAGGAAGAAGTAGCCGCGGGAGTTGGTGAGGAAGCTGATGAGCCCCCCCGTGAGGGACACGAGGAAGTCCGCGATGGCCAGGTTCACGATGATGTAGTTGAGCGGCTGCCGCAGCTGTTTGAAGCGAAAAGTAACGAACATCACGAGGAAGTTCTCACTGAGGGACAGCGCCGTGACCACGAACATGAGCACCGCGAGCACCGTGAAGTTCCACGGCTCCACGTTCGGGATGGGCTTGTTGAACGGGTCCCATAGCTCCGTGTGCGGCGTGGGCTCCGCATGGGACACCGCGTTCACCGAGAGGCTTAAAGTATCCATTGTCCATGCCTCCGCGCGCTTCACTCCGGCATGTCGGTCTCAGTTCACGCGCACTCGGACATAGTGCAATAAGCGGCGGAACGCGCCTTTAATGAGTGCCCACATCGGCTCGAGCGCTTTTTATAGACCCGCGCGCCTCCACGTCACCGCTGCCCTACGACACGCACAGTGAGATGCTCCACACTCATGGATACAGACTATGTCCACACTGCGCGCGACAAGTGTCCAATGCGCACCTCGCGCACAGACTACTCTGAGCGCGCTCCGCTCGGTCTGTGAGGCGGGATCACACAGGTCCTCCCCTGTCCTCACCTCTGAGCACCTGCTTGTTGTTATTGACTTTAAATTTGGCCACTTTTCAAAGCGGGTTCACTCCATACAAATACAGAGGGCTCACCGAGGTGTTCAGTCTAATTCTAACGCACTGTTAATCATGAAGCATATGGCATATTTAAAGAAAATCATGGACTAACGTAAAGACAAAGTGAGAGGCTCTAGACCAGGGGTGTCAAACTCATTTTGTTCCGGGGGCCGTATCCAACCTATTTTGATCCCAAAGGAGCCGGATCAGAAAACTCATGACATATAAACCCCAAAAAATAACAATAAGTTCAAATATTTGTGCAGAGAAACGCAAATCTATTACAGAAATCTTTTTTAATTGATGAACTCTTTCTTATTATAATATTATAAGATTATGAACAACCTGAAACTTTAAGAAAAATTCAATTTCAACACAAAGTTTTAACATTAACTTGTATGTAAACAGGAATACGTCCATTTTTCATGGAAAATCCTGCACTCGGCTCCACTTTTCTCATTTTGGACATTTTGCTGATGAGGGTGTCATGGTCAACAGTCAAAACGATCGTCCTTTTGGAAAGAGACAAGTCTTCATTTGTGCTGCTCTGGTGGGAGGGGCCATGTACAGAGACGATGGAGACACTGCTATGCTCAGCACCGCAAAAAATTACCTATATTTTAATAGAAAATATAATTAAAATATTTTAGTAGAAAATCACCCAAGGGCCACGTTAAAGGTCTTGGAGGGCCGGATCTGGCCCCCGGGCCTTATGTTTGACACCTGTGCTCTAGAGACAGTTCAGTATATTAGTCGAGTGTTTAAGTCTTTTGCCACTGGAACATGCAAAACACATGGGACATCACATATAAAGTTAGTAATGTGCTTCAGACTGATCTTATCAATAAAGAGTGAAATGAAGTGTTAGTTCAGATTAAGACAAGCCCCTGAAGTACGTCCACAACAATAATGCACATTTGTATTGTTTGGATACACTACAACGCTCTATAATATTCAATAGTTCATCTAATAATTGGTTTAATTCTGACTTATGAATTATGTTTTTACTTCAATTCCTTTTTTTCTGATTCTGTTTGAAATGAATGACTGTCCAACAAATGAAATGTTCTGTGTTGTGTAAATTCTAAACTGAAATTACAATATTTTTTATTATAAACAGGTCAGGTAACTCCTATAATAGACAATGACTAAACACGTGTGGTCATGGCTTCTTTTAAATGACTCAGGTCTTATGTCTTTCACACATGACTGAAACGTCGGCTTTGGTGTTAAGTCAAGCCTTAAATCCACCCCAACACGTCTGCCCTCTGCGCACTCTATGTTTTCAGGACTCAGATAGTGGGTATTGCAAATAGTGGGCTCTCCTGCAGAGCGTTAATTACAATCAATATCTCACACAGCTGTAGCTCAGTCAGATGAAACAATCCTAAACACAGAATTATTAAGCCTTTCAGACCAACAGCAACAGAGTGGGCCCCGGTATAATGGCGCTGTACTGGATTTTTAGTGTCTGAAAAACCTGACAAACACAATTAGTTCATTTTAAACATTTTGTAGGGGTCCAAAGTTATTCCTCACTTACCTTATGCATTCTGAGCATCCTAATCCATCACTGTGAAGAGTTTATAAGCATTTTTTTATGGACGCCGGGAGTGCTCATAACAAACACAAACGCCCTAACAAATACAAGCGTGACAACAACAAATGCAAACTCCACAACAAACCAAAAAGCCACAATGGAAGTGACTCCGATAATTTTCCAATGAACCAAGCGACAGTGAGACAGTGACATCGATCCTGGCTACAAAACAATAAATGACTTTTACGTACATTTCCAACTTTGTTCACTTCTCCATTCCTTTATTTTTCACCTTCTTGTTCTTCTTCAACTTTTCCCATTCACTTCTCGCTTGATCCTTTTAACACTTCGCTTGGTCCATCGGAAAATAGAGTCCCGCGGTCACTTCCGTTGTGGTGTTTTGGTGTGTTGTGGCTTTTTTTGGTTTGTTGTGGTGTTTGTATTTGTGTTGTGGCATTTGTATTTGTTGCAGGGTTTGCATTAAAATGTAGTCCCGCGATCACTTCTGTTGTGGCTTTTTTGGTTTGTTGTGACGTTTTGATTTGTTGTGGCATTGGCATTTGTGTTGTGGCGTTTGTATTTGTGTTGTGGCATTTGTATTTGTGTTGTGGCGTTTGTATTTGTGTTGTGGTGTTTGTATTTGTTGCAGCGTTTGCATGAAAATAGAGTTCCATGGTCACTTCCATTGTGGCTTTTTTTGGTTTATTGTGGCTTTTCGTTGTGCTGTCGCATTTGTATTTGTTGTTATAAGCCCTCCGAGCTTCCGTAATTTTTCGATGACAGTAACGCTAACATCAACTTGCAAATGTTCCTGATTATCGGGCAATAAAATGCTTTCTAATTAAACGCAAACAGCACGCAGCACACCTGTTTTGCCTCAAGAGCTGCTTATACAATATAACTATACTGGTGTAAGACAAATTTTGCTCAAATACATGGAAAAATCTGGTACAGATCCTTTAAAACTGGGAATAAATCATTACCATCACTCATTATTCATCCACTCCATATTCTGTGTTGGTAAACTGCCCTGGGGTAGAGTCACGAAAGCGAGGCTGATAATCTGGCACTCAGATTTGTATTATTATAAACAGAACTACTGTACAGACATAATAGGCCTAAACAATGACAACCCACTATGTCTATACCAGGTCTGAAGCATATCAAAGTAATGGTCAATATAAGCTCTCAACAAGTGCTGACTCTGATGGTCCTAACTCCACAATCTTTCCATCTCATCGAAGTATCAAAGTATCAAATGCAACTGTTCATTAATTTGAGAGTTTAAAATCTGAAGATGATTTCAACCTTCTTCTCCATTATAATGCCAAAAAGAAAGCTGGACTGTCATTTAGAACAATGACAAACCAATGAGTCAGTCATGAGATAAACGTTTAGTGCAGAAAATTACTGCTGCTCTTTTGATCAATTTGATGACTAACTGTAAATAGTCACAATTTTCCAAGATTAGTCACCGGTGACGGCCAAGGCATCACTTTAACTTTCCATTAAACTTGTTAAAATTCCTGTTTTAACCTACCTCTCACACCCACACGTGTCCAGCAGTGCAGCACTTTGTTGTGACGTTTATGGTGATATACGGTAAAGGAGAATGCGGACGTTTTAGAGCAATATTGCGATTAAAATGTCCAAAATATAAAATAAAGAACCAAGTATGTTACAGATTATAACTGGACAAAAGAGAATGTCTTCTTCAAACAGTAAGTACAACTATCTCTGCCGTCTTAAGAGTTTAGTCGATGAATTAGTCAACAAAAAACTGCCGTGATAAAAGCTCTCAAAAGTACCTCAATGTACACTACAGGTCAAAAGTTTTAGGACACCCTCATTTTTCCAGTTATTTATCGCAGTTCAAGTCGTGCAAGTCCAATGAAGAGCTTGAAATGGAACAAAGGTAAGAACTGAACAAACAGAGGTTAAAAAAAAAATAAAAGATACAAAACACAAGTCCAAGCTCTGCCAAAACTACCTCAAGAAAAAAGAACAAGATGGTAAAGCTTGAAAACATGGAGTGTCCAGCACAGTCTCCAGACTTAAACCTCATCGAGCTGGTTTGGGATGAACTGGACAGAAGAGTGAAGCAACCTACAAGTGCCACACATTTATGGGAACTTCTGTAACAGACTTGGGAAGAACTTTATGATGAATATTTGCTTTCTATTGTAAAAAAAACGAGCCACGAGTGTGTTCAGCTGTTATATCTGCCAAAGGTGGACACTTTCATGTATCAAAAGTTTAGAATACGTTTTGGTCAACTGTAAAAAATGGAAAAAAGTGTGGTGTTCTAAAACTAAAACTTTTGACTGGAAGTGTATCTGACCCCAGCTGCACTCACAAGACTACACCTGCACAGGAGTTCATGCAACAACAAAAAAAATAAAAAAACACTATCTCTGCAGAAAAAAGTACAGGGGAACAATGTATATTTACATAAAGACGGATTCAATGTGTGACTCATTATTTAAAACTGCTGACTTTTTCTCACTCACTAACTTCACCTACTTGCAGTTGTCCCATATAAATCTTTATACCGTATTTTTCGGACAATTACTTGCTCTAGAGTATAAGTCATCCCAGCCAAAAAATGCGTAATGAAGAAGAAAAAAACATATGTAGGTCGCACAGGACTATAAGTCGCACTTTTTGGGGGAAATTTATTTTATGAAATCAGAGACCAGGAACCGATATTTCTTCTTGAAAGGCAAGTTCTAGTAATAACAATAGAAGAGAGAACAACAGGCTGAATAGAACAGAACAAGTTTACCAAACTCTCCATCTCACTCCAAATCACTAAATCCATTGAATTCTTTATCCTCGGTGTCACTTCTGAGCAACTCCACGACCTCCAGAGGTAAACAGAGCGCTGCTTCCTCTTCTGTGTAGCCGTTGTCAGACTCAGCATCAGTTCCAGTTACAATTATTCCAGCCTTTCTGAATCCCGACAGGATGGTTTCATTGTCACTGAAGTCCAAGCTTTGTCGATCCATCCAGTAACTTCAAGGAAAGTTGCCTGGTGCATCCTCCCAGTTACCGTGAAGCTGTGTTCTCCATCCGCACTTTCCACCAGTCCCTCATAAGTTTCTCACTCACT